TACATCAAATACTGCAGAAATTACTCACTCATTACTCTCAAATAATAAAATAGATACAAATAACAAACAGAATCGAATGAAAGAACATTCCCAAAATGATAGCTAAAACTTTTGACGAAACCATCTCGACAAAATGAATATACACACAAAAACACACGATTTCCTCTCGCTCAACAATGACGGAATTTTAGAGTAAAGTATTCATAAATTCTTGAATGAACTAACAATGGAACAGTATCTGCGTTCGGTACAATTCCGCACACTTTACCCACAATATAAACGTCTTCGTTTGGCCCTTCATGCAACGACTCAAAATCACATTCCGTCAATTGTTTCTCCTCTTTCCTATCATCCGAATCTCGCGCAGCACTGTTTCGATACACTCGCCTCGACAGAAATTGTTGTTGTTGAGTGGATTTGTTCGACGGAATATTACTCAACGCTTTTTGGAACTCCACTAAACGTTTTGATTTCAACCTACCTATAAAATTCAACAATTGACAGCGAATATATTTACAAAAAAAAACAATCTTCTGAAGTATCAATTTTGGTTTAAAAATTCTCAAATTGCCCGGTGATATTTCAAGAATCAATTACACAAAATGAAAAAGTGAAGAAATAAATGAATGAACTGAAAATGAGATAAGCGAAAAAACAATCAGAAAGATAGATTAAATTCAAAGTAAATGAACAATGAATATCATCATAGATAACTAATGAATTGAAGAACCTTTCCGCTGAATGGCTTCCGAAAAGTGTTTCAGATAGATGCACAATGATTCGTAACGTTCTTTGGCATCGAAAAAATGTGGATCCAACTCGCTTGCGATGAACAAATGTTGCAAACATTTCGCAAAATCTTGCTCGAACTTCAGTGCTGTCGCGTAGTTCAAATGCAGATCTGGACTCAACGATTCCCGATCATCCTTCACTGTCAACGCTTTTTCATATGCTTCTCGAGCTTTTTTCTGAAGATATTGAAAAATACCCAGAGGATATCGATGAATAAGGTGATTCCACTGATATAAATTCAAAAACTTTTCATAATTTGCAAACGTTTTGCAGAAATTTTCTGCAAAGTGTGATAGAATTTCAGCATACGATTCACTGAAACGTTATAAGCTTCTTGCAATAGACTCTACGGAAGCGTATCAGGTTTTTGGGAACGACGTTCTAAAATGTAAGTGATTGATTTACGCATCCTGATTACGATTTGATATGGAACATCATAATTCGAGAGTCCTTAAAAGAAATCGCAACCAATATAATATTCACCATATACAGTGGATTGGTTTGTCCATTTGAGAAGAAATCTGTGACATACGCATTTCCAAGTGCATACCACGCTGTTGCATTCTCACCATCCAGTTCTACGGCTTCAGCGCACAGACGAGATGCTTCAGTGCGTAGCTCGGCAGCTTTTTGCGCGTCTTTCGTCCGAAGTGCCATTTGACGTAGTGCGGTTGCAAGGGAGCACAACGATTTGATGTTACGTTCGACCGATAATGATTTCTGAAGAATATCAATAGGATGAAGATAAAATCAGAAGATAACTTGAAACTCTTCATTGTTTCTTTCGACAATTTTTTCGGCACCTTCAAACCTGTACTAGCATCATTTTTGTGGGTCCATCATGACGTTCACGTCAATTTTGAAACCGTACGCAATTAATATGACTGTTTTGATACCATCTCGTTAGCGAAAGCAGACATATGATAATTATATAAAATCGGTTTTCTTCAAAACTGAATCCTATGTTAATTTCACTAATTTATTCGAAACTGAGCCAGTAGACTCCTATCTGAATTACATTTGTATAGCTATATTTGCAAAAACGATTTCACTTCAGTGAAAAATCACGGCATAAAAACGTTGAGCATTTAAGAAATTTGAAGTGAAACCTTGAAGCAATCAATTGCGATCTCATAATCTTCCCTCTTCCATAAGCATTCACCCAACTCGTACCAGGCATTCGTCAAACGTGGGTTCAACTTGACCGCTTTCGTTAAATACTTCTCACATTCCGGCTCATATTCTGTGCAAATATTCAAAATTGTTCCGCTCAGCAAACAATAATCCGCACTCGACGATGACGAACCACGAATTTCCAGTGGAATATCCTGCAAAAACCGTGCTCCAATGCAATTCCGCGGAAGAAACGCAAACGAAACGCATAAAGACTAAAAGGAATAATGTGGAAAACTTTACATAAGATGGATTTGAGGCATTTCGATGGGTTCAACGATTGGACTGACTAGATGTGGCTGTGAAGAGGATAATTTCACGAGAGAAACTGACCTGTAATAGAGGAATAACCCGCTCTCGAACAGATTTTGACTTTTCAGCTAACGTCGAGTTGGGATGCTCCTTGAAGTATCGATCACGGAAGTGCTCGGCTTCCTTGATTCGTTCCATCAACACATCCATCTCTGCAATTAAATTCATTAAGAAGGAAGATTTTTATGATGCAAGGATACGGAACGAATTGGATTAGATCCCCACGAAACGATTAGTACCAAAGTGAAATGTTAACTTCATTACAGAACAATTATTACATTAATTTATTCGCTATCGCATTCTGCCAAATTATTTTTTCCACTAAAAAAAACATGTTGAACAGAAATGGCGATACTGGGAAATGGATGTAGTATGAATTCATCGGAAACGATCAGAATGAGACGGAATCAGAAACGTGCTAAGAAGCGAATGAGAAAATTTACACGACATAATCGAGGAAGCATGCCGTTGCGATGGAAAGGTACGAGAGCAATGCAAAACACTACGAGAATCAGTCATGAACGCTTGATCAGAGAGTGTAAAATGGAAGTCACTAATAAAATTCTATGGAGCATTTTTAGAGAATGCAATTTCTGATATTGTACTCTGTTCGAGCATGCACTCTCGTTGAGTTTCATGCATGATTCGCATGATACTCTCGCCATCTCATTTCTCGACAACGCCAACAACATTCGCATGTCATTCTATCGCGTAATTCTTCTCAATCACTTCAACCTCACTTCTGATTCACTCTCATTCCAATCGTCATCCGAATTTTCATTCTCATTTCATTTCCTTTCACATTACTCCACTGCCTTAATTCAGTAGCAATAATCGCAAAGCAATCGTATGAGACGATTTGCCAAAGTACGGCCAATTTGTTCCAAGCGATTAATTATTAAGTAGTGTTGTAAATTTCCAGGAAATGTGAAATGTAAATGAGTAGTATTGTTTTGAATTAATTTCAAATATTCACTGAAAATATTTTTATTCCTACGTTTATTTAGTATTCATGTCATGAATGTGGAAATTTTCATGTATGCAGCCACTGTTCTGTTGTGAATATTATTTTTCAACAAAAATATAACAACAACAAAAAAATTCTCGATCATTCATTATTACGATTTGCGTTTGCTTCCAAAAATTCCAATCTGTATAATTCAGGTGTGTTGTTACTAGTATCGGCAACTGCTGTCGAGTGAAACGGCTCGTAGTTGGTGTACAATTCAAGACGGAAACTAAACGAAAACCGGAAAAGTAAAAAGGAAAAGAAAGCAAGCCAAAGTTATGTCTTCATCTGCAATTTACATACTCGATCTCAAAGGAAAGGTGAGTTCATTTCAGTTTTTTATGAAACTTACATATTCCATAGAATCGTACTGGTTCTGCTTAAACGTTTTGAAGCAATTTTCATTCATATAATTTTACTCATTATGAACAAGTGATTTGCTGATTATAATATTATTCACCCAATGAAACTGATCGTATTCAGTGGATAATTTAATTTTCATGATAATATTCATTCGATAATGAGTTTTAATTGCTGATTGATTGAATTACTTTTGAACTGTTTGAAAAATGTCGTATAAAATGAATTGATTTGCAATGATTTGAGGTGATCATCTCAAGAAACTATCGCGGTGATGTGGATATGAGTGTCATCGATAAGTTTATGCCGTTGCTAATGGAACGAGAAGAGGACGGGCGACAGAGTCCGATACTGGATCATCAAGATGCAACGTTCATCTACATCAAACACTCGAATTTGTATTGTTAGTTGCTTTTTTTCCGTTTATTTTGGATTCTTTTATTTATTTATTTATTCGTAATCAGAAAGATGTGAAGAATGTGAAATTGCAGTCGTCTCAACGTCAAGAAAGAATGTCAACGTTGCGTTGGTGTTATCGTTTTTGTACAGATGTGTAGATGTGTTCGGTGATTATTTCAAGGATGTTGAGGAGGAATCAGTACGTGATAATTTTGTGATTATTTATGAGTTATTGGATGAAATGATGGATTTTGGCTATCCGCAGACGACCGAAGGAAAGATTCTTCAAGAGTAAGTTAGCACTAAAATGTATTTTGTGACGAATATTTCTTTGAACAAGTTTATAGAGATGAATGTAATTGTTTGGTGCTCTCATTTAATTTATTGTCAATCGGTGTCATGCGCTTGATTTGTTAGCCTACAGTTACGGATAATTTATTGAAGATTGTTCATACTGAAAGTATTTTGCAATAGATTAGAAGACGTGCATTGTTTGCTCATAGTAATTACTGATTATAATCTCCTCAATAAAATAAAATACTCAGATTCATCACCCAAGAAGGACACAAACTCGAAGTTGCCCCACGTCCACCGATGGCCGTCACAAATGCGGTCTCGTGGAGGTCTGAGGGTATCAAATATCGCAAAAATGAAGTGTTTTTGGATGTGATCGAGTCTGTGAATATGCTGGTGAGTTGCTTGGTTCGCTCATCTTATGAAATCTTCTCAGTTTCTCATCTACTAGTCACATTCTTTGGTGGCATTTGCGGGTATGATTCGTAATCGTTTTCAATTATTTATGGACTGAAAAGTTTATATTTACATCGTCTGTAAGATACTGAATTCATCAATAATACTTTCGATATTTGGGAACCAAAAGATTTGGCTGTCTCATTGTAAGCAGTGGAGTAATTTGGTTTTCTTTTTTAGGCGAATGCAAATGGTAACGTGCTACAAAGTGAAATAGTCGGGAGTGTTAAAATGCGAGTATATTTAACGGGTATGCCAGAACTGAGATTGGGTCTGAACGATAAGGTGCTCTTCGAGAGTAGTGGAAGTTAGATTTCGCATTTGTTTGAACTGATTGGTTGTTGTTTTGAATGTGACTGGGAAAAGCCATAGAAGAACTTTTTGATATTTGAATAGAGTTTTTCAGGAGGAAAGAACAAGTCGGTTGAGTTGGAAGATGTGAAATTCCACCAATGTGTTCGTTTGTCACGATTCGAAAACGATCGCACAATAAGTTTCATACCACCGGATGGAGAGTTTGAACTGATGAGTTACCGACTGATGACTGTGGTGAAGCCATTGATCTGGATTGAAGCGGTTGTCGAAAGACACACACATTCGAGGGTGGAATATATGATCAAAGTGAGTAATGCTATTATCATTGTCCTTTCTTTTCATTACGGATTATTTTTTGTTCTTATCGCTGCTTTTTGTTACTGGTGTTGATTGAAGTCTCTATTATTGTCAATAAGTATGGATATCATTTCGATCAGTTTGTTAGCATGATTGTGCGAGCAGTGTATCATTAATGTTAGTCAATTATGCGCATATTGATTTCTTCATTTCGCCGCATTAATCAAAAAATCTGAAGGCAAAATCGCAATTCAAACGACGCTCAACGGCCAACAACGTTGAAATCTCAATACCGGTGCCGAGCGATGCGGATTCACCAAAATTCAAAACTTCAATTGGTACAGTGAAATATGCACCCGAACAAAACGCTTTCATTTGGACGATTAAAAGTTTTCCAGGTTCGACGAATTTTAGTTTTGGCTAGAAATTGATTATTTTTAAGCGTATAGAGAATGATGGAATTCAGTTTGATTAAGAATGTATAGCAAATTTTGCACACGTTTCATTCTCATTATTCATTGTTCAGGTGGTAAAGAGTATTTGATGCGAGCGCATTTCAACTTACCGTCAGTACAGAGCGATGATGTTGAGGGCAAGCCACCGATGAAAGTCAAATTCGAAATCCCGTATTTTACAACATCTGGAATTCAGGTTTGTTTTCAGTCGATCGCCTAAAAAATTTTCCTCGTCCGCTTTTTCCACATATCATCTTTCGTTTTGTATTTATATTTTCGAGAGATACGCTAAACAGAGAGCATTCATTTCGAACGGTAGTGTAGTTTATTCGTGTTGAATTTCTTTGAAGAATTGATTATTCATAAGGTTTTTTTCGATGCTCCTTTGAATGATATTCAATCGAAAATTTATCAAACGGCGTTGACTTTTAAAAAAATCGCTTTCAAGGTTCGTTATTTGAAAATAATCGAGAAGAGTGG